AAGCATGTTGGGGGTACTTCTCACTTGTCGCCCAAACTCCGCTCGTAGGGGACGTGCCCGACCTCAGCCCAGGGGGTGGGCGGCCGGCCGCGGCCGGGAGCGCGCGCGGGGTGCGGAGGTCTGGGCCTCCTACGGTCGGCCCCCAGAGTGAGGAGGTGCGGTGAGGATGCAAAGGGCCTCGGGCGCCCATTTCGAAGTTTTTTTTGTTTTTGAGCGCGGGTCGCGGCCACCGAAAGTGGCCAAAGGTGGGCCGAGGAGGCAGGGATGCACGGGTACCCCTCTGGGAAAGTTCCTCATCCTTGCTGTGCGGGGTGGCTGTAGATGGGGGTTCGAGTAGACGGGGTCGGAGGATCGCGCCGCAATCGCAGATGCATCGACGATGCGGCTCGACGCAGAGCCCGTGGTTCCCCACGCTGACGTCGCCGATGCATCGCCGACGTCCACGATGCATCGCCTGTGCATCGCTGATGCAGCGCCGATGCGTCGCCGATGTATCGGCGATGCGGCGCGATCCTCCGACCCCATCTACTCCGACCCTACCCAGGAGGCCTCTATCGGAAGCTGGGCGAGGGCTGCTAAAACCGTGACTGCTAAAACGGCCCTCCCGGAAGGAAAAAACAACTTCCCGGAATGAGGCGCGGCACGCGAAACAGTCAACAGGCTTCTTCCCGGAAGGACGAAGACAACTTCCCGGAGGTCGATTTTAGCAGCCACTGATTAGCAGCCCTTGCCCGGCTTCCGACTCTAAGCAGGGGGGCAGGGTCGACTACACATAAGAGTGGCCGTTCACCGGAGTGACCTGCTGATGCGGGCCCACGGGGGGTCCTCCGGCCGCCGAGAGTGCGATGCGACGGTTGCGTTTGGCGCGCCCGGGTTGGGCCCCCCCCGCGGCTCCCCGAAGGCCGCGCGCCAGAGGGCACTCTTGCCGCAAAGGTCTACTCTTGCGTGCAGCCGAGAGGGGGGGGGAATCGCCATAGGGGGAAGCGGGGCATGAGGCTTTTCTGCGTCTTCTCTTGCTGGGGCCCCCGACGATGCAGGATGAAAAGAGTGATGCAGGATGAAGGAAAGTACTGCACCCCTGGACTGGGGCCCCCTGGACTGCGAGATTCAGGAAGTGATTCTGGGCCCCCCTGGACTGTCAGAAAGCGACGCAGGATGAGAAGCTGGTCCTGGGGGAGGGCCCCAGTGTCCAGGACCCTTCTCCCTCAGGACGACTCGTTTTACCCATGCTGAGGGGGGGCAGGGAGAGAGCACAAACCAGGGGCGCTCGCGCCATGTCCGGCATCGTGCCCCTTCTAGTCGTCATGCCTGTCGTCATCGCGCCTGTCGTCCCAGTCGTTGGCCTCCTGCTCCCGTCGCTGACCTCCCTGTCATCCACGCTGTCATCCTCGTCGTCCGCCGCCTTGTCGTCGCCATCATCCTTACGAGCCCAAGAAACAAAATCGGCGCTTCCCGTTCTTGTCCGATAAAAAGGTAATGTTGAGAAATATTTGAGTAATTGTAGAGGGAAGGGGGCGGGAGGAGGAGGAAAGAAGGGGGAGGGAGGGAGGAGTGGTTGAGGAGTAGGAGGAGGATGTGGATGATGATGATGGTGATGATGATGATGATGATGATGATGATGATGATGATGGTGATGGTGATGATGATGATGATGATGGTGATGCTGGTGATGCTGCTGCTGATGATGGTGACGATGATGATGGTGCAGCTACTGCTGCTGACGATGATGCTTAGGATGAGTGTTGTGAAGCTGATAAAAATCGTTCTGATGATGGTAAAGATCATGCTGCTGATGATGATGATGCTGATGAGGGTAATGATAATGGTGACGATGGTAATCATGGTGATGGTAGTGATGATGATTACGATGGTGGTGTCGGTGACCCCGGCATTGATGGTAATGCTCATGATGATGATGGTTATGCTGATGATGATGGTGAGTTGAAGGATTATTGCGACGACGATGATGATGCTGATGATGATGTTGATATTAATGATGTTGATGCTGATGATGATGGTGCTTCCGATGACGATTATGATGGGATGGTCGTGTTGGTGGTGACGACGGCGATGACGATGATGATGATGATGATGATGATGATGATGATGATGATGATGATGATGATGATGATGATGATGATGTCGATGATCACGATGATGGCGATGAGGATGGTGCCGGTGGTGGCGATACTGGTGACGATGCTGATAATGATGATGATGATGATTGATGATGATGATGATGATGATGATGATGATGATGATGATGATGATGATGGCTCTGCAGATGATGGTGATGGTGATGGTGATACTGATGTTTTTGACGATTATGGTGATGATGATGGTCATGACGATGATGGCGACTCTGATGATGCTGATGATGATGACGATGGTGATGGTGATTGTGATGAAGATGATGCTGACGATTCTGGTGATGAAGATGATGTGATGAAGATGATGACGTCGGCCATGACGACGACGGACATGATGAGGATGTCGGTAATGATGATGATGATGATGATGATGATGATGATGATGATGATGATGATGATGATGATGATGATGATGCTGATGATGATGATGATGATGATGATGATGATCATGATGATGATGCTCCTGATGATGCTGAGGATGATGATGCTTCTGCTGCTGCGGCTGCTGCTGCTGATGACGATGATGATGATTGATGTTGATGATGAGGATGAGGATGATGCTAAGGATGATGATGATTGTGATGATGCAGATGATGATGATGATGATGATGATGATGATGATGATGATGATGATGATGATGATGATGATGATGATGACGATGCTGCTGCTGATGATGATGATGATGATGTTGTTGTTGATGATGATGATGATGATGATGATGATGATGATGATGATGATGATGATGATGAGGATAAGGAGGAGGGAGGAGGAGGAGGAGGAGGAGGAGGAGGAGGAGGAGGAGGAGGAGGAGGGGGGAGGGGAGGAGGAGGAGGAGGAGGAGGGGGAGGAGGAATGCTTGGCGGCGGCTGGGCGTCAGCGTGGCAGACCTTGGGTGAATGACCACTGCCGCTCCTCGCCGGTCCCTCGCGGGCGCGGTGGCACGGTGGCACCAACGGGCGAGGCCAGGCGGGCGAGGGGGAGCACGGGGGGGGGCTGGGCGGGGGGTGGGAGAGAGGCAGAGGATGGACGGTGGGCGGTGGGCGAGGGAGGGTGCACGTGGAAGGAGGGAAGGTGGGGGAGGAGGAGGGGGCGAAGGAGCAGGAGGAGGAGGAGGAGGAGATGCGCGATGTGGGGCAAAGAGAGGAGACAAGGCCGGCCCCCTGTCCTGACCACCCGGGGCTCCGCACAAGTCCCAGCCGCGGCTGATGGAAAGGGAGGGTGAGGAGCAACGGGAGGAATAGGAGGATGAGGTCGAGCCGAGGACGTGAGGACAAGGTTGGAGGACGGGGGGGAATAATGAGGAGGAGGGGCGCAGAGGAGGATGGAGGGGGAATGGGATACGGAGGACCTCGCCCTCTTGCGCACACTACGGTCGGACCGAGGGTACCCTAGTGTTCTTCGTGTTTGTTGGATGTTGTTGCGCATCCAAGGGAAGGGTACCCTTGAATTTTCGTCAGTTTGGCCGGCGGAGGGTCTCATGTTTTCGAAGGATGTTCTCCTGTCCCAGGTCGGGCTGTGCGCCCTCTCTCCGCCCATCTCGCCGCCCCCTCTCTCCGCCCTCCTCCGCTCTTTCCCCCTCCCAGCCCCAGCTCGTCACGGTTGGCCGCGTCTCGGGCTACTCGGAGGAGGAGGAGGAGGAGGAGGAGGAGGACGAGCAGGAGGAGGAGGACGAGGAGGAGGAGGAGGAGGGGGAGGAGGAGGAGGAGGAGGAGGACGAGGAGGAGGAGGAGGAGGAGGAGGAGGAGGACGAGGAGGACGAGGAGGAGGAGGCTCCCCGACGACCCTCCCCAGGGCGTCGAGGCTTCCGCGGCGGCAACCGACGCTGCGGCGGCCCCGCTGGCGGTGCGCCGCCTCCCGAAACGGGGGGGCCTCCTGGTCTTTTCCCT